TTGCTGAGCATCGAGATTGGCTTCTTATGCACAGTTCTTAGCTTGGACCAGCGGTCAACCGCATGATGATCAGCCGCAGTGTCGTAGCGCAGACATTCGAAAGGAACGCCCACATTTAAAGGACGTGATTGACCATAATATACTATAATTGTCTGGGGCAGCCCCAAAAAAGTGCCAGAAATGCTGTTCAAATGGCAGCCGGGTATACCACCTGGAGAGTTATGAATCTTGGGTGTTCCAGGCATCGAAGTGCCTGGTTTTCACTGAGGCATGTCTGCTTCAAGAAGCTGATCGACGAAAACCCCGAGCTCAGGTGCCCACATCGATGGTGATCGACCCTCAAACCCCGGGGGGATGGTTTTCGGGGAACATCTATAATTACCCCGAAAACCCGAACAGCAATAATTTGGAGGTTTCCTAAAATGGGGGGTACCCCGAAATCATCCAAGTCATCATTGGACCATGACTTCGTATTGAAACAACCATGGTGACTGGGGCTCCCCCATTTCAAGCAACCCCCCATTTAATGGTGGTAAAAAAAGCCATGGGTTTCCGGAAGATTTTCCGTCGACTCAGGCAGATGTGGGCCGAGGAGATCACACTTTTGAAGGCGGAGTATTTTTGATGGGTCCTGGTTCTCCAGGTTTTCAATGATCATCATCATATCAGAAAAGGACATAATATATAGAATTATAGAAATATGAACCAAGTTTTTTTTCCTTATCTCATCTCCTTTTTTCCTTTACTTTTTTAATGCTAGTATTTCCGAAAAAGTTGTTATCCATATGGCAGTGTGTCAAAACCAATAGTACCCCTGTAGTTCACATCAAAATAGCTGGGATTTATGGATGTTCATTCCCCTAAAAATGGTATGTATAGGTATCGATCCATACCCATATTCCTCATTGGATTGGTTTGAGGGAAAATCTACAGGAAACCATGGTTTTTACCATGAAATATGGGGCTTTCCGGTTCAAATTTTCCCTTAAACCAATCCAATGATATCCATATCACCGGATATGATCATCATTCTCCAAAAAGTCTCACGAGAATTCTTATTCCGAGCGGAGGCAGACGACGGCGCCCTGGCCTGGATGGCAGATGTGGATGCTGATCGGCCGGAGGAGACGACGACTGGATTTCGCCCGGATTTCATGGGGATTTCATGGGATTTATACTGGAAATAATGGGATTTAATAGTGAATGAATGGAATTTAATGGGATTTCATAGTATTTATTGGGAATATGGTCGGATATATCTGGGATTTAGTGGGAATGAATGAGATTTAATGGGAATATCATAGGAACAATATGATATATCACCAACCACAATTGGAAATTAGGAGCTACCTTCTGATAATCAAACATGGTTGGGAAATCTATGAATGATCATGCATCATAGGAAATTTAAATGGGAACTGATTTATAGTTAGGACTTTTTCCTGCAACCATGTTGGACGTCTATGGCGGGCTGTGGAGATTGGTCCAGGACACGGTGCGGCTCTGGATTGACCGGAATCCCTCATGGATTTCGCGGCAACTGCAGCTCGCACCGATGCTCAAGTTCGTTGGAGATGCAGCCCAGGCAGCATCGGCTGACAGTGGTTTCCATAGTCATGGAGGTACCCCAAATAGTTGGATGGTTTATTTCAGGGAAAATCCTACTCAAATTAATTCGCATCCCATTTTGGGAAACCTCCAACTAAGAGTGGAGTGCATGTTCCTGGGGACACCTTGCTGACCGATATCTGCTGCTTTGACCAGTATCTCTTGTTGTGAGCATGAATGACAAAAAATGCTTTGCTGGCGACCGATCTCAATTTATCGATCCAAACCTCCGATCCACATCCTGATTAGCCTCTGGTAATCAAATATTCAGAGATGATGTTCCCATCATAATGCCCATCTATGGGGATTTCCCATTGCTAAGTTAATTAGCAAAGGGTAAACCCACTAACAAACTATCTCATTATCATCGAACTAAATGGCTGGTCACAGTTCTCAGGCGTTGCAGTGGCAGCCCAAGGAGCACATCGTTGGCCAAGACAACTGCCTGACTCAGGTAATTGGACGGCTTCTCAGGGGCTACCGTGGACCACCACAAATGGGATACAGTATAAGGGAATAATAGGGGATTATACTGTATATACATACATACATACAGACAGACATACAGACAGACATACAGACAGACAGACATACATACAGACAGACATACAGACAGACATACATACAGACAGACATACATACATACATACACACATACATACATACATACATACATACATACATACATACATACATACATACATACATACATACATACATACATACATACATAATACATACATACATACATACATACATACATACATACATACATACATACATACATACATACATACATACATACATACATACATACATACATACATACATACATACATACATACATGGGAATCCCTAAAGTAGGGGTACCCCCAAATCATCAATTTCAAAAGGATGTTCTATGAAATAACCCACCCATTTTGGAGATTTCCCATTTATGGAAAACACCATATATATATGTATACACAGTATATATATATACACGTATATAAATAAGTAAATAAACATGTATATATATATATTCACATATATATACATGTACATATATATATATATATATCATGTGGTAAACCCAATCATAAACCATTCCCAAAATCACCAGAATGGGTGGTATAAACCGGCTCCAAACGGTAGATTCATTATTGGGTTGCACACACTATGTATATATATAGAATATATACACATGTGTATATAATATATATATATATATATCTAATACATATGGATGAGTAACTTATATAGCCAACTTGATATGATAACTGCGGATTATCCGCTGCTAATCAAACACGGTGTGAAGGACAAAAAACATTTGTTTCGATGAATTTCCCATAGGTGTCTACTTAGTTGGGGGATTTCACAGCTAGCCATGTTTGATTGCCGGAAGACACCACATACTTGTTCAAGGGAGTTGAAACCACCAACCGGACAAAAGGCTTGGCATCTTGGGCTTTTTTGAAGAGTGCCCAGGGGTATCGGGGACTTTTCCCTTGAATGTGGCGTCCAAGAAACACCTAATCCACTTTGGGAGATCATCAATGTTGAGCCGTAGCCATTTTTTTTTGCCTTCTCTCTCTTTCTTTCAGCCATGTGTCAGGCACTTGCCCGGGCATTGCCCCAATCGCCGGAAAAAAAAGGCTTGCACTTGCAAACCGTTGACTCCCAGAATTACGGGAAAGTCTACAAGACACCCCTAAAATTTGCCAGCAAAATCCATAGGATCCATGGGTTGTCTCTGCCGCTGCGTCTAGCCTCCACTGGAGCGTCTGTTTGTGAAACCCTTCGGTGATGTGGAGGATGTCAAGGAAGCCAAGGATGCAGAGTGGTAAAAAATGCACACACCACACACACACACAGATATATATATATATACATAGATAGATATATAGATAGATAGACTGTACATCAAAGCCTTTGTTGATGTAGCAGGTGTTGAATGTGGCTTTTAGCTTCACTGATGCTTTCTGTTTTTTTTTTCCCTCCATTCCTGGTACTGTTCGGATATATGTACCATGCCATGGCGATGGTGTCTGTGGCTGTCCTTCGCTGCAGCAATGCGGATCGTTCAAGAAGATGCCTTTCCCAGCAATTGTACCTTGCATGCAGCTGTATCACGTATTATTGCCAACAAACAACTCAGACAGTTGCAAGCAGCACCTGTCTGCCAGGTCTGAACAAAGACGCATTCTTTGCAGTGATCTTGAGGTTATTTGACTGGAGAAAAACATGAATGGTTTTGACCCGAAATCATAAACCAGCCCTCCCTGGACTTGCTAGTGGATGGAATTTTTCAAACCAGCCCCAATCATTCCCAATTTTTTGGGGTTTCAAAGATGTTTCATTTTCAAAAAAATTTCTGTGGGATGGGACCACATCCTATTCTTCGCAACCGAGGTACAGCAGGCACTCTGCATCTGGCAGGGAGATACAAGGTCGCATCCTTGGTGCTGAATTTCCACCCAGAGGTGTCAGCGATTCCGATTTTTTTCGAACGAAATTCACTGAGATGACACTGCTGATGGCGCATTTTTGATGGGTAAATCAACTATTTCTATGGTAATTTTCAATAGCAAACTGTTTTCATTAGTTTACCGGAGGTTAAATGTAATTATTGTCCCATTATATACTCACTATATCCCCATGAATATTCCAAAGGTTAGTTTACCAGAGGGTATTTAGAAACATGACATCCTATTAGCAAAGACTGCCGGGATGGGCCGTAGCACCCCAGGTGGCGTCTGTGGTCACCATCCATGAGAGCTGTCGCATCGTCGCAGCGCAAGCCGTTGTGCTGTGTCCTGGCATCTGCGTAAGCTGATAGGAATGGGATACTGACACATGGGAGAATGTATCCAATAGGATAGGAATATATCCAATAGATTCCAATAGTAATACAATGAAGATCTGTGTTTATGGATTTGAATCAAAGAGTCAACAGAGTTTCTGACCATTCCAAGAGCTGCATTCAAGATATTCGGACAGCTTGAAACCATCGTGACGACCCAGGTCTGATGCTGCGCTGCTATTCAAACAAGATGTCTTCTTTCAGGGCTCTATTCACTTTGTGGGATCTGTCTGGGTCTCAGGCTTCGCTTCCGCTTCTGCATCTTCGTCAAAGCCATGAGCCACAACATTCAGAACAGATTCAGAACAGATTCAGAACAGAAACAACCAGAACAGAACTGAACCGGCAAACCGGGGGTTTCCCAGTGGATTTTTACAAAGGGATGGCCATGACCTCAGGACCGTGCGGCACCTCGTTGCGTGGAAGTGGAGGTACCCGGGGTAGCCTCGTCCCTGTGGCAGCCCCAAATCGTCCACAAATGGGGAACCCACGCCAGGTGGTGCGGCCAGACACGTCGGAATAGAAGGGGTGTCGTGGGATAAACATTCATAAACAACCACTGTTTCATTTCTATATATCCATATATCCATATATCAGTTTGCTAGCATGTATTAGCTATGGTTTTCTATCATTTCTAGATTTCAGAAATTCCCAAAAAACAAAAATCCAGCAATCTGTCTATTTCCTTCACGAAATTTCCCATGTCTTTCCCATGCGTCCGGATTCCGGGATTCCTTGCCAGGGCAATGCATCCATCGACGAGGCGACCCTCACCTTCGAGGCCTGCGGAAATGTGGCCGTCGAAGATGGAGGCGGCTGGGACTTCCGGAGTTTTTTGGAGTTGGTGGAAGCAACATCCATCAGTTGGTTGATCCACTTGGCTGAGTTCGGTTGGTTTTCGTGTTTTTTTTTTTTTCGCCCACACATGGCTGACTGATGGGTTACTGATGGTTTGTTGGTAAATCCGAAAGTAACTACGGATGATTTGTTTTCTTTTTTTAACCACGTATCAGGATATAAATGCATGTAACTGATGAATGAGGGTTGATGGTCAGTTCGCGATTCTTATCGGGACTTAACCATCATTTCGTTCGTTTTTTTTTTTAACTGGGGTTTGAACCATCAAAGATATGGACGACATAATTTTTCTGAACCAGCCTACTTGGTTGATGATGAGTTCGGGGATACGAACCCAAATATTGGGGAATGTCAACCTGTACTACCGGGACGACAAATGGGTTGAACATGGTACGTTTTCACGATGGTTTGCAGCTGTTTTCATGATGGGAGATGGTCAAAATGCTGGTTTGACCATGGAAAGTCAACAATATGGCAGTGTGTCAAAACCTTGTACCCCTGGTGAACATCAAAATAGCTGGTAAATGGATGTTCATCCCCCTAAAAATGGTATTAGTAGGTATTGACCCATACCCATATGGGATCATGATGCTATTTATTTAATCTATGAATTATGGGATAATGATAGGAATTGAACTCACAATATTGATGGAATATTTTGAGAGACACCAATGTGGTGAATCCACTGAGAATGGGATATTTATTGAATATGGGATATTATACAATGGGATATTAATAACGAGATATTAGTAAATCCAATGACAACAATACTAGCAACAATAATAATGATGATAGACAAAAAACTAATAATAATCATAAAGATGATATCGTAGTAACAGTCACAAGAATGTAGTAATAAAAATGATAATGGGTCTGTGCAGGTTCCATTAATTGATGATGTCGAATGACGGGATAGTCATGGGATACAACTAACCATATATTTGGGATATATTATGTTGGCTGTTTTGTTGGGATACCAAGGATATATATATATAAGCAACAATCTGATCTGGGTGTCTCTGAAAATGGGACATGCATAAAATGTTCATCTATATAGATAAACATGAAAATGGTGATAAACCGCTGGATTTTTGGTATAGCCTATTTTCAGGCACACCCATCATGTGGAAGATTGATGGAACATTTCCATGGGAATAGAAGCAAGAATTCATGGGATATTTCACCTTGATATCCATGGATCTACAATTTTTGTACATCCAGAAAATCTAAAAAAACCCGTTACTACTGCCAGAAACCATGGTTTTCACAACAGGATGAAACCACATTGTTGGGACGGGGTTTTCATCAGGGGATGTTACTGGAATATGACTGGAGAACTGCCGAGCGTTTTATGGAGATCACCCATGAAATCGCGGGAGGTATGGGATGACAACAGTGGGATAGTCATGGAAACTTCTGAGAACATCTTGGGAGAATCATAACTGGGAATATATATATATAAGTGGAATATTGATGGGGATGGGATATATTACCAAGAATCATTGGAAGAATGAAGCTTGGTTTATTTTCATGGTGGATAGTGATAAAATCGCTATCTTTCATGGAGGATTTCTGTCACCAATGAAAGTGGCATTGGACATCAATTACGGTATGAAACATGAAAACTAGGGATGATCTCCCCCCAAAAGAGTCGAGGATCCAAGGAACGATCCCATTGGCCAAGTGTTGACTTTACCCGGCCTGGTTATGACATTCACAGTTCGCCATGGTGCCATGGCCCATAGGTTTATAGCTGGTTTACCGAACAAAAAATAGCATGGTGGTTTTCCATGAAGAACTGTGAATGTCATAACCAGATGGTAAGTCCTCGCATTGCGGCGAGAAAAACCATCGCCAGACAAAAAACGCACCAGAGGGTCAGTGACAAGCGAAGCAAATCGAGAAATATTGCACCATGGTTGGTTTGGGGCCCCACATTCCCAGGATCTCAGCCTAGCGGCATCAAAATCCTACAGTTGTACCCACGAATAGTCCAACTGCACTCCCAAGTGTAGTCACAACGGCCAATTTATCATGGGAAAATGCCAGTTTATAATAGAAAAAATGGTCGGAATAGCCAGTTGAAATTTTGGGAACCATGGATACAGTTGATGGGGCAAGTGAGGTTTCACATGAAGTTTCTAACCATTTTCAACCCATGGGTTTTGGATTGCCAGATTCGGGGATTCAACTCGTTTTCTCCATCGCCGAGGAGGCATTTACGTGGAGAAAGATCTTGCAATCTCCAACAGTGAGATCACTTTTCAACACTGCCGGGCAGAAGTCGGAGGCGGTGCTTTTGTTGGAGGGACCCTTGCCAGCAATGACAGATTGGTGACTGGAAATGTGATCAAAACGAATATGTCAAAGCAGTGCCAACAGTTGGCTAAATTGTTGCATTTCTTTCTGTTTTCGTTGCGAAAGACAGTCGCCTTTTCTGCATTTTTTTTTTGTGACTTGATGCCACAAAGAGACTGCACTCGGAGGATCTTGGAGGATCCATTTGGGTATCATTCCAACAAGCCATGTCGCAAAAATCGTCAAGACTTGTAGTTGTTGAATCCTCAATAGTGCTGGGATGACCATAAACCACATACCATGTCTTGACCAACATATATACATACATATATATATATATGTTTGTACAAGCCAAATCATACTGTTGGCTAAAGATTTTAAAGTATATTCCATTTCATCACCATATATATCTTCTCTGCAAGTGTTACTCCCAGAATCTCCTTATAAAGTGCCCGTTGCCATCCTCCCAACTAACAGTTTGACTGTGAACCCCCACAATTTCCTGATAATCTCTACATAGAATTCCCATCAAAGCTTATAATGTATAATCCCAATAGTATCACAATTGTTTCCACAACGAAATCCCCGTAAATTTCCAGCAAACCCCATACAATCAGGCTGAAATCCATATAACAACCCATTAAATCCCCATAAATTATATAAGTCCATATAAGATCCTATTAACTACCAGTATTCAATCCGTAAAATCAATTGAACCCATATAAGATCCTATTGAAGCCCAGCAAAAATTCCCATACCATTTAATGAGCTTCCCATAAAACACAATTAAATCCAACATAGAATTCTGAGTTCCGTGAGTTCCCATGAAATCACCATAAAATCATCATGAAATCCAGCAGGAAAAGCCTGTGAACGCCATGAAATCCAGCCTGACCGCCAAGGGCATTGACATCCAGGGCCTCTAAAATCTCGGTCTTTTCCTGTCACGCAGCAGGTGGTGGAGGAGAGGTTTCCATTCATGGCGCTACCCATCCAAGTCGTTAGATCATTTTGGTATTGAAACCGATGGTGACTCGGGGATCACCCATTTCAAAAAAAACCACATCCGTATAGTGGAAGACCAAAGAACTATACACTATAACTACCCAACCATTCTGGACTCAAAACCATTTTTTTGCGGGGATATAATGGGATGGAATTTTGGATATACTTGGAATACAGTATACTTGGGATATACTTGGGATATATTGGGATGTATTAGTAATTGGGATATCATGAGACAGAATGATATGCAATGGAATATCTAATTGGCAACGTGATACGGGGTCCAATCTTTGGCCAACTTGCTGGGGAAGTTCATGAGAAACCTGGATATCCTCTCCCCTGTCTAGGTTGTCGTGTTCCCCTGCGCAGTTGGCGAAGTGTTGGTTTCCCAAAGTAGCGTCAACAAGCTTGGCATTTTCGACAGATTTTCTCCCAGTTCGCCCCACTACCCTTTGGTAATTTCACAGGTCCCTAAGGAACGTTACCATTCTGAAGTTTGGTTATTGAATCACTTGGGCCATGGCTCATATGTTAGCCCGCGGTTTGAAGTTGGGGGTACCCTCTGGTAATTTAACATAGCAATGGAAAATGGCCATTTATAGTGGATTTTCCCATGAACAATGGTGATTTTCCATAGTTATGTTAAATTACCAGAGGGTAAACTTTAAGCTCCAGGAGGACTCTTTGTTTCCAAAGATATGTCACTGGATGCTTCCAGCCGAATTTTCTTCGAATCTTGCAGCGCTGCAGCTTTGATAAACCCTGGAGACTTCGTCCATGGAAATCCATTGAAACAAGGATCAAGGCAACGGGAAATCCCCATTAAAAATCCCCTAAGAATCATCTGATGTATTATGAATGGGGGATTTCCCATAGCCATGTTGGACGCCAGGTTGGGGCCATGTTGGAGTGAAGGTCTCTAAAATCTCTACAGAATTCTGCAAACTCAAAAGGCCATGTTCTGATAACATGTGGAGAAGACAAGGCAAACTTCAAGAACTCAGGGTTTCAGCTGCGGGAAGCACACTATTTCATTCCAGATTTACCTGGATGCAACAGGCAACAGTTTTTCCTTCATTTGTATGGCATTTTGGGTCTCAATTTTTGATTGAAATTTGAGCAGCTGGAGTGCTCTCAGGCAGAGGGTGAAGGTGGTGGACTGAACATCCTCAATGGCAACCTTTCTATAGGCAGGGTGCCTCTCGGAATTCCATAAAAAGACTTTGGATCGAAGGTTTTCCAAAATGCACTTTTGATTAAAAACCTGAAATCTGGGAATGTATGACTGCCAACCTTTCCCTTTTTGTTTTTTTTCATCGCCCGATCCGTTGACCCCTTTCGTCATTGAAAATCTCCATTCGACCAGGGTTTTGTCGCCCAGGCGCTGGGAGCAACATGAGCTTCAAGAACTGCAGTGCTGTCGCGGGTGGAGGTACAGCGGTGTGGCAGATGATGGGTGAAAATCGTGGGACATTCATGGGATGTAATGGGAATATCATGGTGTCACAAACATGGAAAATTCATGGGATTTTGATGACATATTCATGGATACCTTCCCTTTTAACTGCCATAGGACTGTGAGTCTCTCCGAAAGGGTACCTCACTGGGGGCCTCTTGCCACCCTCAGGCATCTTCATGGCCAGCCCCCAGTGCCATCTTGAGCAGGGTGGTAGCATCAACATGTCGGACTGCCGAGCCACGTCTTTGGGCGGATTGTTTGGCGAAATCCCGAAAAAAAATCACATTAAAAAATAAGAAGAACTTTTCTTACTGATTTGGTGATTTACTTAGAACTTTTTCATCTGACAGATTTGACAGATTTGCTTTGGCGCCTCCTGGGGTGCCTTCTCCTTTTTGCGGATCTGCTGCCAACGCTATACCCGCGACCCAGTAGGAACCTGAAAGACGCACCAAAGAAACACCGAGAAAGTTTGTCATCGATCCCAAAGGATCCCCGGGCCCCATATTTCTTCATTAGCTCATGAGTTTTCCATGATAGATCCATTCAGAAACTCGATGGAAAAATCAACCGGGATCCCATGCTTTTCTACAAAGTCCCCGCAACGCGGCCCCTTGCGACCCCCAAGGCATTCCAAGGGCGGCGGCGCGGTGCTGCATGACCTGACTCAAGCGGAAACGGCAGAGTTCAACTGCCACCGCTGCGAGGCCTCCTACGGAGGTGTGGCACACCCCAGGGCCGTCTTCTTTCCATGGGGGTTTTGAAGATTGGAACCCCCTTAAAAACCCATGGCAAGAATCATCAAAACCCTATCAATTTTCAGGTAATAACTTGATCTTAAATGATGATATTGGAAAATCCCACCCATGTTTTGTCTTTATTTTTTCCAAGCCTCCATTTGGAACCTTTTTTGGTTGATTTTGGCTGGACCGTTTTGAGGAAAGCTGGAAGATCTTCGACGGTCTTACAATGACCTATGTCAAGCATAGTATAGCTTGTATTCATGTCCATGTAATTGAGACATACTGCAAGTGAATCACGGAACTCAAAAATTGCGCTCAAAATGCGTCTTGACTTGATACGGATGACAAGCTCAGCATTTGCTTAGCATTTGTGACTCGACCTCAAGAATTCTAAGAGTCAAGAGGTTTGATTCTCCCTGTTGGACATTTTGCAGAGTTGCGTAGGGGCAGGGGTAAATTACAAAGGGCATCGTATTCTTGTTTTGTCATGGTGCCTCTGCGTAGGAGGTGGCTTCTCCGCCAGTGGCAAAGTCCTTCTGTGGGGCAGCAGCAACTTTGAAGATTGTGATGCATCGGACGGTCGCGGAGGTGGGAACAGGTGACGGAGGTGACGACTGGTGGCCTTTTGGGACGTTCCCAGATGAAAGTTGGATGATGACTTGGGCATGTTATCCCCTGACTTGGCAGAGATGATGCCGACTCGGGTAGTTCACAGGCCAACTTGCCACTGGTGACAATCTCACTACTCAACTCGACCTCACTACCATAAGGTACGATCATCTCATTTATCAAGTCAAGTCCCAAAGCAACTTGCCTCGCAACTTGACTCACGACCTCATGGTGAAAGGGGCAGCAGTTGTGTGGCTCCAGGTGCTTTCACTGGAACATTTGTGGATGTAATGGGCAAGGTGAACACAAGGACTGTGCATCAAGCCCTGAATACCGGAAGAGTTGGGCGAAACGTGACAATTTCCCTCATGAAATGGTCAGGAATACCTCAGCAATGGACGGTGGTGCCATCTGTACCATGAAGACTTTCAAAATCAATGGAGGTGATCCTGGGTGGCAGGACTCAACTGAGTCAGTACTGTCCTGAGCACTGTGCGAAAAAATGGGATCCCTTTTTCATTGAGCACAAATAAAACCGGCCCAGAAATACTGGCAACAATGCTGCATTAGTCCTTGATGATATAGGAGAAGAATGATTGGTTCATCCTTTTGAATTTTTATCCATCAATTACAATGATTACCAGTAGCACTGTGCGAAAAAATGGGATCCCTTTTTCATTGAGCACAAATAAAACCGGCCCAGAAATACTGGCAACAATGCTGCATTAGTCCTTGATGATATAGGAGAAGAATGATTGGTTCATCCTTTTGAATTTTTATCCATCAATTACAATGATTACCAGTAGTACCGCGCAAGGCGGTGGCGGAAGTTTCAAACATAGGAAACCTATAGGAGAGATTGGTTGTTGTGAATCCGGGATGGCAGAGCGAATCCACTGATGGACCGAAAGGTGCTTGAGGTCTCCTCTCTCTCTCTCTCTTTCTCTGACTATCTACCTACCTACCTATCTATCTTTCTTCTATGTATGTATTTATCTATCTATCTATCTATCGATCGATCTATCTATCTATCTATCTATCTCTCTCTCTCTTTCATCTAATTACCTATCTATCTATCTATCTATCTGTCTATCTGTCTGTCTATCTATCTATCTATCTATCTCTCTATCTCTCTGTCTGTCTGTCTGTCTATCTATCTACCTATCTATCTGTCTATCCCTCTCTCTCTCTCTCATCTGTCTATCTGTCTATCTGTCTAGCTGTCTAGCTGTCTACCTGCCTATCTGTCTATCTATCTATCTATCTGTCTATCTGTCTACCTGTCTATCTGTGGTGCAGTGTCATTCTGTGTAACGTAGTGTAGTGTAATGTAGTATAGTGTAGTGGAGTGTAGTGGAATGTAGTGTAGTGTAGTGTAATGTAGTGTAGTGTAATTTCGTGTAGTGGAGTGTAGTTGTGTAGTCGTAGGTGTAGTTGTAGTGTAGTGGAGTGTAGTGTAGTGTAATGTAGTGAAGTGTAGTGGAAGGTAGTGTAGTGTAGCGTAATGTAGTGTAGTGTAGTGGAGTGTAGTGTAGTGTAATGTAGTGTAGTGTAGTGTAATTTAGTGTAGTGGAGTGTACTGGAGTGTAGTTGTGTAGTTGTAGTTGGAGTGTTGTGGAGTGTAGTGTAGTGTAATGTAGTGTAGTGGAATGTAGTGTAGTGTAATGTACTGTAGTCTTGGTGTACTTTAGCGTAGTGGAGTGTAGTGGAGTGTAGTTGTGTAGAAGTAGTTGTAGTTGTAGTGTAGTGGAGTGTAGTGTAGTGTAATGTAGTGAAGTGTAGTGGAAGGTAGTGCAGTGTAGTGTAGTGTAATGTAGTGTAGTGTAGTGTAATTTAGCGTAGTGGAGCGTAGTGGAGTGTAGTTGTGTAGTTATAGTGGTAGTGTTGTGGAGTGTAGTGTAGTGTAATGTAGTGTAGTGTAGTGTAATGTAGTGTATTGTAGTGAAGCGAAGCGAAGCGACATCTGAACCTCCAAAAGTGGTCCGAACCCCTGGTGTGTTTAACATTTTGACTTCGAAATGTGTTTCGCGCCACAACGGCGTGCACTTTTTCGACATCTGAACCTCCAAAAGTGGTCCGAACGTGGTGTGTTTTGTACATTTTGACTTCGAAATGTGCTTCGCGCCACAACGGCGTGCACTTTTTTCGACATCGCAACTTCCAAAAGTGGTCTGACAATGGTGTGTTTTGTACATTTTGACTTCGAAATGTGCTTCGCGCCAAGCGGCGTGCACTTTTTCGACATCTCAACTTCCAAAAGTGCTCCGGAGCTGAGGTGTCTTGTACATTTTGACTTGGAAATGTGCTTTGCGCCACAACGGCGTGCAATTTTTCATCTCTCATCTGGCCAGCTGGCTCCGCACCCGCCGCTTTAGCGAGCCTACTTTTCGACCCTCCGGAGCCCCAAATCATTGGAAAAACACCGTGTTTCGCGACTTTCCTACCTTTTCGCGCATCTGCATCTTCTTTCTTCTGACTCTTTCTCTTCTCTGATCTTCTCTCTTCTGATCTTTCTCTTCTCTCTGCCTCTGCCTTGCTCTGCTTTTCATCTGTCCATATTGTGGGAAGTTTGACTTCTAAACTTCCTTCGGTCATCCCCCCAACTAACATAAGCCCTGTCATTCACTGGGCTTGGAAGAGTACTTCCAATTTACAAATTGCTGATTCCGAGGGCCATTCACTGATGGTGATTTTTCCAATCCCTGATGGATAGATCCCTATCTTTCTTGCTATAAAACATCAGGATTTTAGCCAGCTTTAGCTGTTTAGATCCTCATTTTATGTATAAAATGCTGGTTGGAACGTCGTCACCTGAGGAAGTGCGGATTCGCCAGTCCAGAGCAACACACGGTGGGGCTGTTATGGCATTGAGCCTGAAGCTGATGAAGGGACTTTTGGAGACTCAGGAGACGGGGGAAGTTTCGAGGATCTGAGTTTTTGTGAAAGCCACCAAAATGGCCATTCCAAAAAAAAAAGAGAGTGGCAGGCTGTGGGAGTGCGCTGCTTCATAAGTTCTGATCATCACACACATATTGAAAGATGATTGAATACATCGAAAAAAAGAGAGGGGGGTGTTGTGAGTGCCATTTTGTTTTTGCATTTTTGACATTTCATGTCTGCAAAAGATACCAAACCCTGTTCTTCCCCAAACCAAACATTGTTGCTTCTGTAACAAAACCAACCACTGTGCATTCTCGACAGCTCTCCCAATGTCCTACTACATAGATACATGGTTTCAGCCAAAAAAAACCTGAACACTAATTAAAAACAACAAAGCAAACAAGTGCAAATGCCTTTCCAAAGAGTGCAGCATTGCTTTAAACATGTATAGACTCTACGTCTCTACAGGGGTTTGTCTCAACATATGCAATAGTTCTTTTGGACATGTGCAGTTTAGACAGGCACCAATTTATGCAATATGTTCTCTATAAGAAATAAAGGAAAATAGACATGCAAACACCACTTTTAAAATAACTTTGCATAAACAACACCATTGCTCCATGTATGCAACAACCTTTGGCAAACACTGTTGCATTCTTTAAAAAATGTGTAGCGTTACTTCCCAATTTCAAGGAGAACCCTCCTATGAATGTACTGAATGATTTCAGAAATCATAGCAGATAGCATTCCTGTAGGAAAATGTAGTATGCTGTTATGCAAGATTTAATCTATTCTTGAATTACTACAGCATGGGTTTGAAAAGAGTGCCGTCTTGCTGACACATTGATTGAAACATGTGTTTTACCTTTGGATGTGTAGATTCTTGCTTGCAAAGTATGCAACATTATTGTAAGGAAGTGTAGCAAGAGCCTACTGTAGATTCCATTGATGATGCAAAAGCCTGTTGAAAAATGTTTTTTGTTGTAAAGCAAGTATTGCACCACCTGCTGCAATATGGCATTTCAAAGAGTACAACTGTTCTATGGAAATGTTGTTTTGTTCTGAAAAGGGTGCTATGTGACTCGACTTTCAAAAGGTCTTCAAAATGTGCAATATCTTATCTTTGTAAACAAAGTAGAATATGGCTTCAAACAATGCAAAACAAATTTTAATTATAAATCATAAATCTTAATGCACACTTATTCAAATATGATTATGGCAATGTAAACAAGTGCTACATGCCTGTGCAAAGAGTGGAGTAGCACAATTACCTTCAGTATCTCTTTCAAACTAGTGCAGCATTTGCTCGCAAAAAAAGTCATGTTACTCCAAACTGTGCAAAATCTGTGTCAATCAAGGAAAGCCTTCCTTTGAAGATGCACATATGTATGTGTATATATAATGGAAATACATGTTTGTGCTCAGGATCAACCAGAGTGTACCTCTTTGCATGTGTGAAGAATTTGAAATGCACTTGGCAGTCATGTCCTTCATCCATGCCAATCTCATAGCCCATGGTGGTGTTGGGTAGCTGTAACGGGGTGCAATCACTGCACACGCCGCAGCCAGGCTAGGACACGCAGGCTGTGCAAGGGGTTCCTAGCCAGGAATACGGAGCATGGGGCTGTACTTTGTTTGCAGTCACCGTTCCTGCAGACAAGGACCTACATGAAAAGCAGTGCAACACCATTTCGTTTCATATGGCAGCCAGGCCGCTCAACTCGAGATCACACATATGTGCATGCCAGGCTGTTTCATCTCTTTTCGCTCCCTAGCCTTTCTCGCATGCATGGAGCTGCAGCAACTAAAGGGAGCGCTGGCTGAGAAGAAATGCAGCTTCCGGGTTCCACCAATTTGAACGCGACAGTGCCTCTGCGAGTATGGGTCGGAAGGTCCGCCAACAAATGGGTTGCCCGGTGGCAGCGGCGATGGCGGCTGCGCAAGGGTAAGCTACAAGATGCGGATCTGTTAGCCCTGGACACTTTGCGCACCAGGGCTGGGCAAGTGGACGAAGTGGGGGCACCCCTTTTGGGTGCCAGATTCTAGGCTCTGTTTTGGGGCCCCAAACCCTTCCCTCATCAAGGTTTAATCCCGTGCGTTTGGATCCAGGTTCCTCTCCCACCTTGCCCTGCGCCAATGGCAGGTGACGGTGTTCAGAAGCATGAGAGCAGCGGCAAGAAGGTGCTGTGACCAACATGCTCTACAGCCCAAAATGCCCTCGAGGATGCCTGGTTGCAAAGGGACAGTGGCAGGGCGAGCACCCCGCACACCCGCACAGGCGCTGCATTGGTCCAACCACCTGACGGCTTTGCTGTCGCAGCTTCCAAATTATGGCTGAAAAGAAGATACCAGGAACTACGTCGAGCCGACCCTGACGGCCAACCTCAGCTCTGAACATGGTTGTTCCACTTGAGCCATGCTGCCTGATTGTGGTTCACAGCCCCGAAGTGGGAACGTTCCTTTCATGGCATTGGTGCCGGGCTTCGCAATTACGTTCCAGGCTTGCTCAATTCATGAACTGCCTGCTTGCCCTGAGCCCGTGCAACCGAAGCCACTAGAGTTTGGGGTGGTGCGGCCAAAAAGGCGCAAGATGCGCTACGCTCAAGCGAGCTTGCTTGGATTGTGCCCTGGGAAGCGAAACAGCTGCCTGCAAGTAGACATTGAGATGCAACACCATGGGGGGCCACAAGCGTGAAGCAAGAAATGCAAACTTTTTGGGGGCACCAGAACCAGTGCCGGGTGATGTCCGTTGTTGCACGCATACTGCTGGAAAAAGGTTTGGCTCTCAGAGGTACCGTGCCAACACACAACTAGCAGCCAACATGTCCGAGTCTGCTTAGTAGGACTGGAGATCACGAGCAACACTGCCAGAGGGGTTTTCGGGCCATTCCCTGTGGATTATGTCGCAGAATCCCTGTTTTACCACAATGGGAAGAATTTTGTGTCCAAAATCACGTTTTTACCACAATGGCAGCGTTCCTGAGATTTTGCTTTTGGAGAATATTATTCTATCTCCCGCCGACGTTTCTCAGGAACCCTGTCATTCTGGTGCAGTTTCCGCATCCTCGTGTTCCTGGCTGTTCCTGGTCTCCATGTTCCCCCTAGGGGGCAAGTGACATAAGCTTCCCCGTTCCTGGTGGGTTTTCCGGTGATCCACCTGGCATGACTAGAAGTGCAACTATGTGCAACCATTGTTGCTCTGTCCTAACACCTATTGTGTGGATAGCTCATCTCCTTTTAGCTTCCACTCGGAAAGCCTATCATGACATAATTCCTGATAATCTGGTCGGTGGCGATTGAGGGATACCTCAGGCTGGCAACAAACAGAGCAGGCAAGACCCGGCCCAGCATGCAAATGGGAGCAAATGGGCTTGAATCGGTGTTTGTTGTCACTTGCACTGAGAAGCTCTATGAAGATTCTTTCAAGTGGCTCCTAGGGTTGTGCCTACAACAAAAGACATACCCAAACATTCATCGATTCAGGTACCTCGCCATGAAATTTAACATCCTCCTCACATGCATGGCCACCATAGGTGCTTGACTGAGGCTGTGTGCATTGCTGCGCAGCGAGCCGCAGCAAAAGCGCAATCAAGCAGTTCCAAAAAAAAGACCGTTGTTTTGCAGGAAACAGGCTTCACAAACCTGGGCCCTTGTAATATATATATATATATATGTATATATTTATATATATGTGTGTGTATATGTAGTTGTGAAAGTGAATAGTTTCTTGGCAAATCTTTGTAGCATCCCTCCAAGAAAGCTACAGCAGATTCCAATGGTCGTACTACTTCAGCAAAGTGTGCCACCAATTTATGCAACATGTTTTTCAAAAAAGTATAGCATGAAACTAAGGTTATTATGTAGGATATGGCCGAACACTTCAAAATTGGAACGCGCAGTCTTGATCCTCAGACCCAGTATGTTCATAGCTGCAGTGGTTAAAAGATTGGTTCCTGCAAGCTTGAACGCTTGAAGACACCGAACGGCCACTGTACAAAAAGGTGCAGATGGCTGAAAGTGACCAAAACAGAAAAAAAACCTTGGACACACAAAAAAAAATAACAAAAAAATCAGAGAGTCTTGGCTGGGACCCCCCCTCCCAAAGAGTCTAGACATATTGTTTTTTTATTTGTTTTTCCAAAGGTTTTTACCTCTTTTCAGAGAGTCTTGGCTGGCCCCCCCCTTCCAAAGAGTCTAGAAAAATAGAAATAAATAAATAAAATAAACAACTAAATGAATAAATATATATATATATATATATTTGTTTCTCCAAGGTTTTTACCAAGTGTGGGGTATTTCAAGGAAACTGGCATGAATCACAGGAAAAGCTGTCAAAGTGCCTTTGGGAGTGCAGTAAAACATCTCAAAATATCATCTAAAACCATGGGAAAACTGCAGTCCCATGGGCCGTCTTTCTGAAAAAAATGGGGTTCAAAAATGGGTGGGATACGCTCATTGATAAGAGGGGAAAGCGAGTTTCTCCACCCTCATTTTACAATGCAGTGTCATCAAACATGGCTTGCTGGAAAATCACCCATTTAGTTCGCTTATTTTCCTAGCCAGAACCCCCCCATAGCTAGTTTGTGGATTTCCCAGCGGCCCGCCGTGTTTGATGACAGGAGGCTATTTTTTTTTCATTTTATTATCATTTTTGTAATATTTTAATTTTTTTAAATCATTTTTATCGTTTTAATAATTTTTATCATTTGAAATCATTTGAACCATTTTAAGCATTTTAATCATTTTTACCAATTTTATTCATTTTAAATGATTTTAATCATTGAAAACAATTTTCATCGTTTTTATGGTTTTTATCATTTTTTTAAATCATTTTACAACTTTGATTATTTTAATCATTTTAATCATTTTCATCACGATCATTGTTATCATCACCGTCGTCATCATCATCATCCCATTAAATTCCAAATCATGACGATCCACTATCACTCACTCACTCATTATTGTAGAGCTTTGCACACCGGCGATGCCATAAGGGTTATGTATAGTAGTGTGAGCGTTGGTGTTGTTCATTTGCTCGGCGCATGCGTGCAAGTGCAGAGCACAGTATGATGTTCTATTTATACCGCAGCTTGTAACCAGCTGTCACATCTTTTTGTCGCATTTTTGTGATTCTTCTTCTTCTTCTTCTTCTTGTTGTTGTTGTTGTTGTTGTTGTTACCCCTGCAGCTTTTTCAGTCTCGCAGTAACCAAAAATAGGTGGAGTTTCGCGTTTTTTTGAGACTCTTGGAGCTAAAAACGCTCTAAATACTTAGGGTTTTTGCGCCCCAGAAGCTCAACACCATGGTATTTACGATGTTTTTTGGCTTCTGGTAGCAAATTTCACGGTATTTATAGTGTTTTTTTTGGCTAGTGACAAGCAAAAACATTGGTATTTACGCAGTTTTCAGCATGTTGCAAGAAGTTCTTCTTCCATGCCAAAGGCACAAACACGCTGTACATTACAGTGTTTTGGCTCTTGGCACGCATCCAAAAAGAGCAAAAAAGTCCGCCAAACAGTGCCCAAAATGACCTCCAAAAGAACAAAATTTTATCGTCTTTTTTTCCCACCCCAGACCCCCATAAACTTGAAAACCTGAAAAAAAATAGGGGGTCGGCGGCAGGCATGCGGCTAGCTACAGCTAGCTGCATGCCACCACCTGATACGGCATCGCCGGATTTTCGAGCTGACGCTCATCGCCCGCTCTGCCGGATTACTTGACCCTCGATTTCATCGCAGGGAGGTTTTGAAAGCTATTGAGTGAGCACTATTCTTTTTATGTTTTTGAACATATTCATGGAATTGGAACTTTGTTGGAAACCGTTTTTTTTGGAGCTAAGTGGGGAAGGTTTGTTCCCGAAAGCTCCTGCGAAGGGTTTTGCTGCCCATTTCAACGTTTCACTTCGTGGAAAAGCGCCTCTGTGCAAAGACTTCTCTGAGTAAAAACTGCTCTGTGTGTGTGTGTGTGAAAGCTTCTATGTGTGAAGCTCTCTGTGTAAACATTTCTCTGTGTGTGAAAGCTTCCGTGTATAAAACCCCTCTGTGTAAAGACTTCTCTGTGTAAAAAAATCTGTGTGTAAACGCGTCTGTGTGTTAAAGCTCTCTGTGTAAAGACTTCTTTGTGTAACAACTTCTGTGTAAAGACTTCTGTGTGTAAAAACTCCTCTTTGTAAAGGCTTCTCTGTGTAAAGACTTCTGTGTGCAAACGCGTCTGTGTCTAAGAGCCCCTCTGTGTAAAGACTTCTCTGTGTAAAAACCCCTGTGTGTGTAAAAACTACTCTGTGTAAACGCGTTTGTGTGCAAAAACTCCTTAGTGTGAAGACTCCTCTGTGTAAAAACTTCTGTGCGTAAAGACTCCTCTGTGTAAAGGCTTCTCTCTGTGCAAAAGCTTCTGCGTGTAAAAACCCACTCTGTATAAAGACTTCTCTGTAAAAACTTCTGTGTCTGAGAGCCGCTCTGTGTATAAACTTCTCTGTTTAAAAGCCACTGTGTGAGTAAAAACTTCTGTGCGGAAAAACTTCTGTGTGTAAACGCATCTGTGTAAAACCTCCTCACAAGCAGCATTCATCGTCATATTTTCTTGTGTGTTATCTTCGCGTCTCCTCCCTCCAGTTTTTTTTCGGGCCACACTGTCGTCCACTTGCAATCTGTAAAGTTGTTGGTTGTTGAAGAATGCCAAGAACATGTGAAAGCATCGCTCGTTTACAAATTGAACATAAACAGCGTACAAAGTGCTGTAATTTACAGCATTTTGCGCTGTCAGATGGCAAAAACCCGCGTAAATACCACAGTCTTAGCCCCCGAACATGGCTAAAATACTGTGTTTTACAAGGTTTGGTTCACATCCCGATTTTTGATTTTTTGAAAAACACGTAAATACCAGCGTTTTTTTTTTTGCACTCATCAAGACAAAAAGTCGTTTCAAAAAGTGCAAGACAATGCTGTAATTATGTAATTTTCAGGGGTTTGGCGCCGCCACGGGCAAAAAAATGTCTAAATACAAGCGTCTCAGCGTCCAAAAGTGGCAAAACACCGCTCTTTGCAGTGTCTTGCGCCTTCCACATTTTCTTGACATTGCAAAAACCGTGTAAACACCAGCATTTTTTGCAATCAACGCTGTAAATTTAGAGTGTTTGTTTGCTTTGCTTTCAAAAAACATCGGTATTAGCAGTGATTTTCTCCGTTTTTGTATTATTCCCGCAAAAGACATTAAAACGCAAAAATGTTGTAATTTACAGCAATTTGTTGCTTTCGAAAAGCTAAAAATTGTCCGAGAAATGTGTCAAAAGGGCGTTTTTTTCCGATCTTAGGTACCCTCAAAATGGGGAGGTGGGGGAATGCTCGTGGAGACGTCTATGAACGACCCGAATTCCATCCAAACAGCTCTCGCTGCTGTTTTTAGGGGCGGGGTCGGAGGGTCGGCGGTTCGGCACTGCACCTAGAGCTCTAGTCGCTCTGGGACGCTCGTGGGGCAAGCCGCTCGTGGGGAGCCGGCGGAGCTGAATTGCAGAGCTTCGCACACTGGCGATGCCATAAGGGTTGTGTATAGTAGTGTGAGCGTTCATGTGCTCGGCGCGTGCGCGCAGGTGCAGAGCACAGTATGATGTTCTTTTTATACCGCAGCTTGTAACACATTTTTTTGTCGCATTTTTGTGTTTGTTCTTGTTGTTCTTCTTGTTGTTGTTGTGGTTGTTGTCGTCGTCGTCCTTGTTTGTTGGCGGTCATTGCTGTTCAAAACCATGCCGTGGAATGCTCTTATTCCCTAGCGCTCCCCATCGCTTCGGCCGGGGTCGGCGGATATCTCTAATTATCATCCGTTATATTCCAAAAAAAAATCCCCTCACTCATCTCCATTTTTTCTGGCCATTGACTCCCCATGATCTCCCAATTTTTTGATATCCCCATGATCTCCCCATAAACACCACCATTCTTCACGGAGGACACCAAGGCGAAAGACGGTGGCGGCTCCATTCACGTGCGGGTGCAGGTCCTGCAGGTTAGCGGCCGTGGCCTGTCAGCGATTGCCAGATGCCCAAAATACGACACCTAGATTTTTTTTGGGGAAATCTCATCTAGTTATAGCATCCTGGAACCACTTTTCCAGTTTTTTGTAGTGAAAACATGAGGGATTACTAGCCGCAAAGATGGTTTTCATTGGACAATAGAGTAATTGCCTATTGTGTGTAATTTGCCCAGTACATGCCATTTTTGTGGGAGTGATCACATTTTCAGACACATCCAGATGTGGTCAGGACAATGGTGCCAATGATAGCTTGAACTGCGGGAATTAGGGTAGCTGACTGTAAGTTCAACATTTTGAAGTGGAGCACTTGATCTGAGAGAATTACATGGCAGTGACGACCGCGACAACCAAGGACTTGTCATCTCAAATACCACAGCCACATCGGGTGGTGCCATTCAGTCTCCTTGTGACCTGACTGAGAATTTGGTTTCAGGAAGATTGCTCACTTGTGCCCTCCATCAAGTCATCATGGGTTGCCAAAGACCAGGAAGTCGGCTCAATGTTTGGCACTGCTTTTCTCATCTGGGCAAAAAAACAAGACTGTCAAGCCGCCAAGCCCGGATAAATAAGCCGCGGAGCTGTTTGATCTGGGGTACCGTTTTAGTGCCAGATGGCAATTTTTTTTGGGCGACCAAAAACACACTTTCTATTCATCCAGAGGCTAGACCCGATTCTGCCTTGATGCTGCCTTTAGTTTCTGTTTGCCTTTGGATCCTTCGGCTTTCCTGTGCCCTGATTTTCAGGGCTGGTGCAGAAGGGTGGAAGCATCTCTGTCTCCAACAGTGCGGCAAAGCAAATGAGAATGAACCACCTGGTTCAAGCCCATGCAGGAGCAGAGTGGTTCAAATTTTGCTGGACCTTTTGCCTCGGAATTGGGAAGGATGCATGGTTTATCATGGACCTTTGCCTATTGAAATGGATGATTTAGCGGTAGCATCACTTTAGGAAAGCCCCAATTCAATTCAGCAAGACATTACAGCCTGGCAGAACTCATCAAAATTGATACGACATATGGGAACATGCCGACATGCCTTGATTGATCATTCCGCCGAGCAAACTTCTTTGAGAGGAGCATTTGCTTTGGCGGGTGGAATCGCACAAGCAGAGCCTGGTGAAGCTTGGTGCTGTGGGTCCTCGCAGTCGCCATGACTCTGAGTGTTGGTGAAGGGATTGACCAATGGCCCAATAAATGGCAATGAAGGTGAGCTTGAGAATGGTTGAAAGCCTCAACTCACCATCGGGGATTGCCAATTGGTTTGGGATTTGCAACTCATTTTTTCCGCACCTAAGTCGTGGCAGTGACCGTGCGGCTGAGGAGATTGTCATCAGACATTCTTCTTCTGAAGGGGATGGAGGCAAAGAATGTTAGAATGATGCTTCTGGGCATTCTCACTCAAATGTTCTTGCCGTTTGATCCTTTTCGATCCCCGGCTCTCTTTGGTTTGTTTCGATGTTTTGATTTGGATATCTCCCCATTTCGGATCCATTTCCTGTCAGCGTCAGGTGCGGTGACGGCGCACATGATCTTGAGCCATGGCAAGTTGAGCGTCTCTGATTCCCTGGCACCAGCCTGGGGTCATCAAGAAGTTGTGCCATTTTGGGGTTCAAAACCAGTCAAAATCATCGACCTCCTGGAATGATCGATCTTTGATCTGATATGATATGGCGTGACATGACATGACATAATACATACATATATGGATGCATGCATGCATGCATGCATCCATGCATCCATCCGTCCGTGCGTCCGTCCATCCGTCCGTCCGTCCATCCGTCCATCCATGCATCCATCCATACATTACAATACAATGCAATACATCACAATACGATGCAATACAAATATAATACAATACAATACAATACAATAAAATACAGTACAAATATAATACAATACAATACAATGCAATTTTATACCATACAATTCAATACAATACAATCCAATCCAATACAACGCAACACAACACAATACAATACAAGACAATACAATACAATACAATACAATGCATACATACACAGATACACATACACATTTGCGAGAATTCCCAGTGACTTTAACTTTAACATATGTCCTATTCGAAGCATGTGCATTAAATGTTTTTTTTTCGGGAGCAGGTACTTTCGAATCAATGCAGCTGTCAGGAACTTTCTCTGATGCTGGCCCTTACCGCCGCCCGAAACACAATGCGGCCTGCAGAAAGGGATGCTCCGGTCTGCACTGGATGACACAGCAGAAACCCAGAAGCGCAACAACAGCAGAGATTCAGATGAATCACCAAGAACACCAAGAAGCAGTTTGCATGTTTAACACATGAATTACCTCTCTTTTTTGTTTTGTGCGGGGAAAGCAGATTGCGCTACCCGGCCTTCAAGTCTTCACTGCCAGTGCTTCGCACTGGTAGCGGAGCTGCCAAATCCGTTCTGGAAGGATGACGAGATAGTGGTGGACCACCCTAGCATTCCACACCACACGGGGGGCACATCCCTATCTGATGAAGGAATGCAGGCGCCGAGTCTTGTTCGCCCACTGCACCCTGGAAGAAGGCGAGGGGGACACAGAAGCCAAAGAACATGCTGAAGCGCAAGCGCACAAGGTTTGCCAAGAAGCTCCTTGATGCCTTGCATGGAGAGGCCTGGCGTGCTTGCCAGGATTTGCTGACAGACATGGAGAAGTTGCGAGCTGTGGATTGGTACAGGCATGTGTTCAGTGCGTTGCAACATGGTCAAGAAGACGGAGCAGTTCGACAAGTTCTCTGAGAGAGGCTCCAGAGAGCGAGGCCAACCTTTGGACCAGTATCTGCGAGCCAGGAAGCAGGACTGGGCTGAGCTGAAAGACCCTGACGAGCACACTGTAACATGTCAGAAGATCTGTTGGCCTACTTCGTTCTCAAGTACTGCAATTTGTCCAAGGATGATCGTTGGCAGATGGTCCCCAACAATGCCAGTGTTTACAACCTGAATGGCATTGAGCAGGCGATGCGCGTGTCGTTCTATGACATCCACGAGCGCGAGAAGGTCGACAGCAAGGCATGGCCAACTGCCAACTACATCGATGACGATGAGACCGTGCCTGATCATGACGAGGCCCATGACGATGAAGAGATGCCTGAAGACGCCTATAGTGGCGATGAGGTTGACGATGCGGAGATCCCTGATGAGACCTATGGCGATGATGACAATGGCGTTTCGTATGCTGGTGCTTCCAACGACGATGAGGTTTTCAATGCCTACAAGTTGACGGACCAGCTGACTAGCAAGGTCGCTCATACTGCAACTCCCGCAAGCGTCTCGAGGAGATTCACAAAAGCCGGGGATTCTACAAGCAAGATGGAGCACCAGATGATCGACAGCGCATGAACAACAAGGATAAGGAGTGATCGCCCTGTGCTGCTTGTGATCGAATTGGGGTTCCAAGTCTGGCCCCAGGAAGTTTCAGTCCAAGCCGAAGGGGCGAGGCAATGGCAAGAAGTCTGGTGCCAAATCATACTATGTCAATGAGCCCCGCCTTCTTCACGTCGAGGAAGAGTCGCAGTTTTTGCAGCATGGTGCATGGCAAGGATACCGGCAAGTCATTTGCAGCTTCTGCTTCTGAATGGAGTCATGTTTCAGGTGGCTACGCTCTTCCAGTTGCTGAGACGCCCATACCGTCTTCCTCAGGTGCCATCACACCGAGTTTGACATCGTCAACTGGTTTGATCCCTGGTCAAGACCCCGAGGTGCGTCAGATGCCCGTGAGGATCAATGAAGAAGGCCAGGTTGAAGGTCGTCAAAGTTTCCAGTTTTGCCGATGTCAAGCCTAAGCAATTGGATGGTATGACTTTGAAAGATTTGAAGGCTACATGTGGCAAGTGGGACATTCAAGTCTCTGGCAATAAGGAAGAGGTGACCAAGCAGTTCTCCAGTCTGTTTATGGGCATTCCTATTGCTCGAAAAGGTTGCACTTGCCAGTTCATCATTCTGGAGAAGGGGAGCGACAAGTCCTCTTTGCCTGTTTCTGATGGCATGAACATGACGAAGTTCGCGTCCGAGATGTGGCGCAGAGCTCTGGTCCTATGCCTTCAACACCAGATCAGCCCAGCGGAAGTGGCATATTGAAGTTCCGGAACTCAGCAAGGAGCAGTTCTGGCAGATTTGGGAACATGTGTGCCGAAGTCGAAGATGCCTCCACCGACGAGGTGCCCCAAGATGCAGCTTGAGGAGGAAAGCTTGCCGTTCAAGCCTGGAGATGTTTTACTTCGTCTTTCTTTCATGGGTTGCGGTGGAGACATGTTGGTCATACAGTCATACATGTTGGTCATCCACGACCCAGAGACATGTAGTTGGTTCATGGGATGCGCCAACCATTACCAGAATGGATGTACTTGGTGCATGGACTACGTCATTGCATGCCGAGCGGAAGCTGCAGCAGCCGCGCATCACAACCGTGGCGGCGGATCCTTGCAGTGAGATGCGCATAGAGAACGTCCGGTCTGGCCATGGACTTTACGGTTGGACCTGATGATCTGCTAGAGAATTCAGGAGATGAGCCCGGACGTAGTGAGTCTCCAGCATGGAATTCGAAACCCAATAGCGCTGAGGAGTTTGAAACGATGGCTGAGACTTCAGTTCCCTCAAACATGCATCACCGACTATGTTCTGGAGCTGACAGTCCTGATGACAGCCGACCTGGCTTTTTAGATACTGCATGTACATCTTGCATGCGCAGCCGTGCATGGAGAGAAGCCTCCCCACACAAAGAGTTTCACTTTTGCCGATGGCAGCAGCACAGATGACAAAGTCATTGTTTGGCGAATACCTCTTTTTTTGGGAGGTCACCGAGGTGAAGTTTTCTCGGCAGAGATTCCAACTGGAAGCACGCCACTTTTGCTCTCCATTCCAGCGATGGAAGCCTTAGACATGAAAGAAGAAGGAAGTTTACAAAGTTTGGGTATCAGTTTGCCTTTGCTCACGACCCGAACTAGACACCTGGCTATCGACTTGCTCAACGCCGAAGGGCGGCCACCAGTTGAACCACTACCAGGTACTATGCCAGTTTGCCAATCAGTGAAAGATGATCTTGTTGTATTTGATTGAAGAGGCCGGCCTCCCTACAAGCTGGGCACGGCCGAGACCTATGATGTTTTGTTAGAAGATACACCTCAAGAGAGCTGTCATGCCCAATGGAACATGGGCCACCGTGGCGTTTTGCCACATGACACTAAGAAGGAGATCAGTCAGCGAAAGGCAAAGGAGATCGGTGCTGGATTGCTTTGCGAAGGTCCTACACGTGTGCTGAGCAGCTGGCCACGTTTGTTTTTCGGTCAACAGTGATCTTCGAGCCCTTTGGTGGTAGCTTTGGTGTGACAAGAGCGGCAAGTCAACACTTTGGATGGACCAACAGCCGGCCCTTGGACTTGCTGGATGGCTATGACTTGCTGACGAAGAAGGGCCGTAGCTTGATCAAGAATGTGTTGGACAAGCACCAACCTTACCTTGATGTCCTTGCCTTTGACTGCAAGATTTGGAGCATGTTGAACAATCTCCAAAGCGACCCAGCAGTTTTGCAACAGTTGAGGGAAAACCCTCAAACAGTACCAGGATGATCACATGCGATACTACCTGGTGGAAACCATGGAACAAGTTTGGCATGGCTTTCGATGGGCTTCTTGCACCACTCTTAGAACGACATCACGGCAAGTATGTCATCAGGGACCAGTGCGGATATGGCAAGGTTGATGAAGAGAGCGGCAGACCAATCAAGAAGCCCACAGGTTTCGTTGCCAACTGTGAGGTAGTCCTCAACCATCTGGGCAAGCGATGCAGATGTGCATGTGGAGCTCATCAACAAGTTCTTGGCTCAAGTCGTTTTTGGCAGAGGTCTCCGCAAGCAGCAGCTTACCCACTTCAACTCTGCAAAGCGATTTGCCAAGGTGTTTTAGAGAGCATGAAGTTGGACTATGTTGCCCAAGGGATTTAGTTGTGCCGGAGAGGATGACAATGGGGATTTTCAACCAGACTTTGACGGTGGCAATAGTGATCGCGAGGCCGTGGCAGAGTCAGAGCCAGATGCAGATGTTTGGGAAAGAGTTGATGACAAAGTCATCCGCCACCACAACGTCCCTCGGCAACAGTTTTTCTCTCCAATGGCTGCAGATGGGATTCCATGTGGCTTCAATGAGATCTTGCCGTTCTGAGCCAATTTCAAAATTTCCCAAAACGGCAGAACTAAAGCTAAAGATGAGTGGACAAGCCCACAACCTGCGCCATGTTCGGAGCCTTTCTGGACGGGGAGGACAGAAATTGCCTGCAAGCTTTCAGAGCAAGAGGCCGGTGATGTGGACTTGGACTTTGATCATCAGGCCGATCAAGATGGGGAAGATGGACTTCGCACCCCAGCTGGTGATGGACTTGCTACACCAGCGTCTTCAGGTGGACTTCGAACTCCCGGAGCTGATGACAAAGCTCTGAAGAGAAAGAGGGCAAGAACCAATCAATTGCAGCGTGGATTTTGGCTGCCTGATGAACTTCAGCCGCTGATGCAGCACACAGTGGAGTTTCTTCAAAATCAAGGCAGGCAAGATTGGCAGTTCATTCCCTTGCAGGAGGAACTTGCACAGCGATGGTCAGACTTGAATCTGCCAATGCTGAAGTTTGTTTGCTGCTGGCGTCCTTGAAAGCCAGAAATCTACGTAAGCCTCAGCCTCATTATTCGCCTCTTGAAGTTCCTTTGAGAAAGTCATTTCTCTTGCTGCAGTGCGACAAGTGCCTAACCACCAGTTGGAAGAGTGGCATCAGCTTTCCCCATCTTCCAGTTGAGGCCTTTGGTGGCAGAAGGCAGACAGCTTTGTGTCATTGCGTATGGCAATGCACTTCGCGAAGCTCCAGATGAGGATGTTGCAGAGGAGGAGGACGCCAGAAAAGATACGAAAGCAGTTGCCAGTGAAACGAAATGGAACTCACTGCCTGGAGAGCTGAAGCTGGCACTTCGACGGGTACACGTCAATTTGGGGCATGAAACAACAGCACGCATGTTGGGAGCAATGAGATTGAGCAGGGCATCAGTAGTGGCCATCCGAGCCTGTCGTTTGTTTCGTTGTCCAGACTGCCCCAGAATACAGCAGCCGAAGAAACCTGGGCCATCAAAGCTGCTTTTGACTGAGGAGTCAATGTGGAGATTGGTCTGGATTTGCTGCATGAAAAGGATGCCAATGGTCATTCATGGAGTTGGCCCAATGTCCTTTGTCAAGTACAGACCGTGCAAAATACTTCTTCGAAGACTTCAGTGAAGCGATGGCGGCAGAAGGATGCTACTAAGCGTCGCCATGGCAACTTGGACAAGTTGAAAGAGACGGAAGCATCTGGAAGAATGTTTTGAAAAGATGTTTTGGGCCGAACAATTCGCTGGACGTGAACCCATGATGCATGCAACCTCGGCCACCAACCAAGCAAAGAATTCCTTGGCCAGGAAGCCAGGGTTATCACCTACACAGTGGGTCCTTGGTCGCAGCATACGGTTGCCAGCGGACTTGACAGGTGATGCAGAAGCGGTGCGATTGTATGGTAAGGCATTGCCAACGGTGCCTACCAGTCCTTTTTACATGGAAGTCCAAGCTAAACTTGCGGCAAGGGAAGTTTTGTGAAAGTCAGAAACTCAGAAGCTTTGAAACGAGCTGAACTACGAAAGGTGAAGCCATCAAGAGGGCCATTTCCAATTAGAAGCTACGTCTTTTACCACGATGCGGCTGACAAACAGCCAGGGCCTTCATGCTGGCGAGGATCATTGGATAAAAAGGGTTAGCACACACTATTTGGTTGTTTCATCAAGGTCTTTTGCTCGCGGTCTCCCCCGAGCACCTGTCCCATGCTTGTGAAGAAGAAGTCCAGCAGTGGACAGTGGACGACAGTTAGCCATGACATGGAGCTTTTGGATGCTCAGCCAGGTGCCAGTGGAACAGGGTCCATTCATTGAGCCAGAGTCCATGAGGGAGCAGAAGAAGCAGAAGAAATCCCATGAGTTCTTTGAGCAGAAAGAGCGCAGAGGCTGATAGAAAAGCTGCGCAAGAACAACTTCCACAACTACGACCAGAAGAGATTCCCATTCCAAATGCTGAGTTCGATCCTGAACTGCATGCATGACTATCACCAATCACAGACCAGCGAGCACCTGCCCGCAATTGTGAAGAATGATGAAACAAAAGCTCAAGAACGGGCAGCAAAGCGCTTGCGAGTTGGTGAAGAGTCAAGCAAAAATGCAGGAATGTTTTCCCATTTGGCGGTGGAGAACCCCAAGTTTCTTTTGAACAGGACGAAGCATACTACTAGCATGAGAAGTCCTACCTTGCGGCAGGGGTGAGTTTAGATGTTTTCTTTTTGGCTTCAAGCGCAACGCTTTTGATGACAAGTACGAAAGCATGTATGAGTATGCCATGGGTGCCTCCCTTGCGAATACCAACGGTGGAGGAAAGAAGAAAGGCCGAAAAGAGATAGGCCGAAAAGAGATTTCTCTGAAAGACTTGCTGAAGAATCAACAAGAGCTGTTCACAGGAGATGGTGGGTCACATGGCAAAGAATGGAGAGCTTGGAGGCGGTGAAAGTGTTGAGTGAGCAGCGCAGCCGTGAAGTACGAGAGATGTACCCTGAGCTCATCATTCCAACCAGATGGGCCCGCACCAACAAGAATGACGGTTTGAAGAACTAGCCCTTTTTGGCAAAGTCAAGACTGGTGGTCCGGAGGTTCAAAGATAAGTCCCTTGGCCACTACCGTCGTGATGCTCCTACAGCTAGTGCCATCGCTGAGAGCGTTTGCCTGGCCATCGTGGCCTACATGCATTTTGTTTTGATCAGCAAGGACGTTAAGAATGCCTACTTCTCAGGAAAGTCGGTGAATCGAGACATCTACCTTGAGCAGCGTCACTCAGGACTTCCAGGCCCAGCAAGCGGGCAACTCCTGAAAGCCAAGAAAGCCATCTACTAGTTCTCTGAAGCTGCACGCATGTTTTGGTTGGAGCACCTTGAATCAGATTGATGGCAAGAGTCCCGTTTAGAACCGACTTTGTTTTTCCTACGTGAAGGAAGCTTGCTGCGAGGTATTTTGGTGACACATGTTGACGATTTGGAGGGTGGTGTGCGTCCTGATTTTTCCCCACAATCTTTCACACACAACTTTGTCACACACACACACACACGCACGCACACACACACACAATCTTTTACACAACGCCTTTGTCACACACACACACACACGCACACAACTTTGTCACACACCATATCTCACACACACAACTTTGTCACACACAATCTTTCACACACAACTTTGTCATACACCATCTTTCACATACAACTTTGTCACACCTTCGGTTTGCGTGGCAGGCGTGGCACTTGGCGACATCGACCTTCGTTTTGCGTGGCAGGCGTGGCGCTTATGGCACTGGGCTGGGCCGCAGCGACCTTCGTTTTGCGTAGCAGGCGTGGCACTTGGCGACATCAACCTTCGTTTTGCGTGGCAGGCGTGGCACTTCTGGCACTGGGCTAGCTCTGGTGGCGCTTGGTCGCCGTTGGTCGCCCGTGGCGCCGCGGACCTTTGCGTGGCAAGCACGGCACTTGCTCACATCGACCTTTGTTTTGCGTGGCAGGCGTGGCACTTATGACATTGGGTTGGGTCTGGTGGCGCGCTTGGTCGCCGTTGGTCGTCCTTGACTTCCAATCCAGCAATCTGTTGCTGCAAGTCCTGGTCATGTTACAAAAGTGCTGCACTCAATCCTTCTGATCCACACTGGGTCCTACCAGGCTCTCTTCTCCACTCTTTACTTCCACCGGAGCTTGCAGTGATCGCAGAAGGCTCTTTGTCCAACAAAGTCTTTCCGTCGAAGAAAGAATATCACAACCAGATGCGACTTGGCTTCAGGACCTGGACGAAGAAGAATGGCTTACCTTCCATGCCACAGGCAAACATTTCAGACCTCTGCCATCACCTCTGGTCCGAACACACTCAACAGATCACCAACCACATCACAAAGTCTTCCATCAACCAACTTCAGTCCACGTTCGACGGTGCCATCTTCCATTGTGAGGACAAACATGCCTCTTCACTCAGAATCTACTGTCCATGTCTCTATTACCAATCCATTGAAAATACCTTTCAAGACCCATAAATTTTCGAACAACTACCAGACGAACCATCCTCCATTGTGTCCTCACTTGTCGAATCCCTCCATCGACAACATGGAAAAGCCTATCCCTGGGCAGTGGGCTCTGGCCGCCAACTCCCATCAGGATACATTTTGGCAAAACGGAAGAAAGAATTTCGGAGCGGTCGACCCATCATCTCCTTTGTGGAATCTCCATTCCGACCTATGCTCAATATCCTTGCCAGATTCATTTTTCAACTCATTCCAGCTGCCTGTCCCAACCACTTCGCCACAGGGGACGTCTACACCTTACTGTCCATTCTGCGATCAGCACCTGTAGATGCCGACCTGATTCTGGTCAACCAAGATTTGGCAGGTTTCTTCACCAGTATCGACCAAGACCGATTTGTCCGATCTTGGTTCATGCTCCTGGACTTCCTTCGTCCAAAAATGAATGTTTCTGATGATGAAGCCTTCTCGGTCTATCCAGGAAAATCCAACAATCCCGGTGACATCATCAAAGGACGCACCTTTCGTCGTCTCAATGTCACTCGCAAGATTGTCATCAAAGATGTCCCAGAATTGATCAAGTCAGCACTGAATATGCAGACCTTCGCCCTGGGCCAAAGATGTGTCCGCCAAAGCAGAGGAAGTCCCATGGGCAGCCCTCTCTCACCGGCTCTCTGCCTTATGGTCGTTTCCATCAGTGAACAAATTTGGTCCAGTACCTTCCACCAACTCCTCTCCAATCATCATTTGTTCATTCGACACATCCGATATGTCGACAATCGTCTCATATTCGGTGACAAGCGCCTCACTGCACTTGCACCATATGAAGTCCTCCTGGACGAAGGCTTCTACGGAAAACCCATCATTCTCGAGGCAGAACCTGACCAAGAATTTCTTGGTTTCATGCTCGAAACGAAACCTTTGGAGCTGATTTATCAGGGACCGACCAATATCTCTCAAGTCCTTTCACCCTTTTCAGCTTCCCCTCCAAAAGTCCTCCTCAGTGGTTTCCGCTCACGCTGCCACATCGTCATCAAGGGTGCCTTCCCTGCTTTTCGTGTTCAACAAGGTCTGACCCAATTAATTCATTTGTACACTCGCGCTGGTTTTCCCAAGGAGGAACTCCGGACAATCTCTGACCAACTTTTGATTCAGCATCAGAACCTTCAATCACAGAGTCAAATGTGGGCTTCCCGCTTGCTCGTCATGGTTTCCTTGTGGGTTTTTTGGTTTTGGTTTTTGTTTGTTTTCCTCTTGTTCTCCTTTCGCTTCCTCTTGCTTTCGGTTGTTTCTTTCCTGTTTTTGGTTTCTTGGCAGCTTCTTGGCTCAACTTCCGCTTGTACCTTCTTTCTCGCTGTGGTGTTCCCTCTGATGGATCACGCTCAGGGTCGTGCTTTTCATCACCACCTGGCTCGGGCCATTATGCATTTAAACCACTTGGCGGGGCTTCTTCCCTTTTTCGAGCCCTCCATTGAATGGGAGGATTCCATGCCTCCTTCACACTTTCGCCTTGACCGCTCGACATCAAGAGGCCTCCACACTTTCGTTCCTTTACCTCCATCGTCAATGTCACCAACAATGGTAACACACGGAGGCATCCCGTCACACATGGTGGTAAATCCTGAACCAAACCTTCGTCCCACCACTATGCGCCCTCCATCTTACATGGAAGGGGACCATACGTCAACCACACCTGTGGAAGGACGCAACCCAGTTCTCATGACGGATCCAGGTCCTGATCCTACTCCGGGCAATCCATCTAGCACTGAACCTGGTCGAGGCAAACCTCGGACCACAATCCCAGTCCCGGTTCGATCCAAGCAAAGGGTCTCTTCAACCGTTGACCCACAACCAAAGAAGAGACAAAAATTGTCGACCCTGCCAGAAACTCCAATGTCAATGGTCACGGGAGGGGTCACCCCTGGCCCACTCCCCATCACATCAGAGGTCATTTCCGGAGCCCTCAATTCAGATGACTCTGATGGTGACGCAGCATCAGTAGCTGCTTCCGCCCACGGCACTGAAGTCAACTACGGCCATCGTGGCGAGACAACATCACACGTCACCTCCACCATTCCTCCAGGCACCTCCACACTTACATTGACTCCAAACCCCAAGGCACCAGCATCTCCCACCTTCCGGATCCTTCAGCCAAATCCAGCTGATCCACCTCGTGATCCACCATTCCGCCCATGGACCAACGCAGATGATCAAGAGCTGATAAGTATATGAAACAGGACACAAAGTCCCGTCCTTCGTGGAAGACGATCGGTGCCAGACTTCATCGCGATCGCCAGGTATGTAAACTGAGATGGGGAATCCTGAAGCAAACGCCTGGGGCCATTGACCAACACGGTCGCGTCAACCCACCCCTCGAACCAGAGGCGGAGGATTAACCAATATCACAGTCCTGTCAATGCTGAAAAAGCGCGGTCCAGCCCGATGTCAAACTGGACATGTTATTGCCATCAGTTGGTTTTTTCCTTTCTTTCCTCCTTTCTGTTTTTTTCTTTTTTCTTTCTTGGTTTTAGTTTTGTTTCTTCCTTTTGTCTCTTCGAATACTCCTCAGCAAATATGGCTCATTCATCTTCTTACGGACGAACCGTTCCTGAACGCTCTCGTTCGCGGGACGATCCTATGTGGCAATGTCGCCACTCACAACAACGTGGTCGACAATATGATCCAAGACCTGAAGTACCTCCTGCACCTCGTCTTCGGAAAGTACTTGCGATTGTGGATCTTCAATCAGTACGTCCACTCATGAACAAAGCCCATGATGACGTCATGGATGCCACGACCTGCGATGTTTTACCGTCCCTGAGCAGGGTGGAAGAAAGAGCCCTGTTCACTTACAATGTCTTACTCAATACCCACCGTCTTGAATCATTTACAGTGTACAACCTTCTATACTGCATCAGCCAGCACATCTGGTACACCTGGGATCGCTACCTACCCCCGTCTTCCATGGACATCAGGTGGCAAGACGATACTGGAGACACTTTCGCTCTCCGCAATGAAAACCGACTGGTTGATCTACTTCATGATTATCGTCCTCATTGGACTGAAGGCCAAGAATTCGGCATTTTATTTCCCAATGACATCCGACATTTTACGTCTCACTTTCAGCCTTATATCATGCGCATGAGCTGCCATGAAGCCCTTCCCAACCGCAACATGCTTCCATGAGACGGATATAAAAAGATCCATTTGCATTCGCTGTCTTTTGCTTTTGTTTCCGCTTTTCCCTTGTGCTTTCGGTTTTCTTTTTGTTTCTTTTTCAGCCCTTGGCTCCAGCTGTATCATGACCAAACGTGATTCCCTGCTTGCCGGCTTCACGTACCCTTCATCGTCGATGAGCATGCCACGTCGTCACTCCCGAACTCATGGATATCCCAGTAGCACTGCTGCACCTTCTGATTCACTCAATCCTTCTCGCAGTGTCACTGATTCCACTGCTTCTACTGCTTGGCCCTCTCTCCGACATGCAGGATCCAGTGATCAAACCTCCCACTACGGGTACTCGACGGCAGACACGTCAACACCAATTCCAGCTCCTGCCGATCATCAGACTCCAATTCCTCCAAGACGTGAAGAAGCTTATCCACTCCAGATGGAAATGGCAGAGACTCGTCATCAGCTCCATGCCCATTACTTCACCGAAGTTCGAACACCTCAAGCTGACAATTCCCAACCAGAGCTTCGCCGACTTATGGTGACGGAAGTGGATCGGTACGGGGTACATCGAAACAGGCAACCGGAGTTCTTCTTCAATGGGATCATTGGTCACATCCGTGCTGATCAAAACGGATGGATCGACTCTTGGGATCAAGCCACCCAA